GGCTCAAGTGATCCTCTTGCCTCAGCCTCCAAAGTAGCTGGGACTACAGGCACCTATCACAATGCCCAGCTAGTGTTTTTATTTTTAGAAGAGATAGAATCTTGTTCAAGCCAGTGTCCAACTCCTGAGCTCAAGCAGTTCACTGGCCTTGGCATCCCAGAGTGCTAGGATTACAGGCATGAGCTCCCACACCTGGCCAAAATTTTTGTTTTTAATTTTCAGATATTTATGTTGCCATACAATAATTCTCAATTATGTTAAGTATACTTTTCTAGTCTCAGAAAAGAGTGTCTTCAAAATATTTGTTCATTAGCTAGCGATAATTAAAATTAAAGGTATTATAGTAAAAAGAATATTAAGGTTAATTATTAACCTTAAGGATAATTATTAAGGTTAATGTTTGATATTTACCTTAAAACACTATAAAATCAACATTTTAAAGAAACGCAGATAATTCATGTTTGATTGAATGCATACATTTCGATTCTTTGTGGTATATTTGTTAATACTGTGATTAAGTATGGCAGAAACAAGTTAAAATAGAGGGATGGAGAACTACAGTTGACTCTTGAACAAAGCAAGGGTTAGGGACATTGACTCCCCTGCGTCCCACCATGCAAGTCAAAATCTGTATATAAATTGATACTCTGAAAAAATGGCCACTAAAAATAACCAGCTTTTGCCCAGAAGCCTTACTGATAATGTAAATATCAAGGGACTGTAACACACTGATCAACATACAGAGGTGGTCAGCATAAGGAACTAGGTCTGCTGTAGTGAGATGTATGTGTGTATCCAGTCTATAAAGATTAGTTCATCTTAAGGATGTAGGGAAGTGATCAACTGTGCAGGCTCTACTATATTTTGTATATGATATCTCTTATTATATACTGTGTTGTTACCAAAAAAGTAAGCTAGAGAAAAGAAAATGTTATTAAGAATACTACTCATTAAGTAGAGATAGATCATCATAAAGGTCTTTATCCTTGCCATCTTCACATAGAGTAGTCTGAGGAGGAAGATGAGGGCTTAGTCCTTTTTTTTTTTTTTGGTTGTTGAGGAATCCTTGAGGGAGGAGGGGTTGGTCCTACTGTCTCAGGAGTGGCAGAGGCAGAAGATATGGAGAAGGTAAAAGGAAAGGTAAGAGAGACAGGCATATTTGGTATACCTTCATGGAAACACGTGGTAATTTCCTTTTGCTTTTTCATTTTTCTAAAAAAATTTAATTTACAGTATTAATTTCCCTTCCACTGTTTGCTGTAGGGCCATTACCTGTATTATAGAAAGGTCCATGTCATAAATGAAGTCAAAATTAGTCTTGAGCAATCAAAATCTTTCTGCCAGATTGCCTAACGTCA